CCATTCTGTGCTTTCGTCTGGTATGGTTATTTATATCTTAAAGTAGCGCATCGTTTTTTAGCCTTTGCCAATAACAAATTATCATCCATATTTTGAAGTTCCTACAGGAATTTTATGTACCTTTTATTGAACAAAAGTGCTTGGAAACCTTGATCATTTTAACTGTGGCCACACAGCGGATAAGTTAAGATGTTTTTTTTAAGTCTTAAATGCAAAATCCGATTTTTCATCACACAGTATCAAGCTTTATATTTTTTCCATCCTTTTGATCATCCTGTTTAGTTTTTAATTCAACTAGATCATCAATATTATCAGGTAATGTCGTAGTCTAAGTCAGATTTGGCTTACTTTGTGCTAAATAAAACACAAGTTAGGCGTTATCAGACAATACGACCAATTTTTAAAAGGTATACTACTGATGAGAAAATATTTGTAATCAAAATTTATGATGAATTTATCTGCAGACTGAGAATAAACACTGAGTGTGCAAATGGAAAGTAACAGGCAAAGATAATAGTCATTGCAATTAGGCCCATTCACTTAAATTTCCCAATCTCGTCTGTTTTGCCCAACCTTCAGGCTTTGTGGACCGACGGAACCTTAGCCCCATAAAGTCGGACTCTTCCCTCAAACTTGCCTCTACGCCTTCTGCTGTTTCCTCTTCATATCCTTCCGTCTCGCCTGGTTCATCTCCATCTGAGCATGAAAGTGTCTTTGGCACATGCCATTGCGGCGACCGGTGGCGACAGATTGAACATTTAATCGAAATAGCCAAGCCAGAGTTCTTCAGGGGCGAGCTCACCGCCAGAATGCTGCTACGATCCACCCCCAACGCTGGTGAGTATGTGGAAAATGCATATGGAAAACTTTATATAAACTTAAGATTTACAATAATAACTTTGATATTTTTCTAAATGGGTTGACCTCGTTGTCGCAACTAGGTCCTGCTGCCAGGGCGACCTAGTAGAACGCACCTAGTCCGAAGTCGACTGCCATAGTAGTTGTCATGCTTCCCAGCATCAGACCGTGGACTTGGTACCGTCTTCGGCAAAACGTTTGTCGAGGAATTGACTTCACTTGTCTCCTTGACGAGTTCGTAGCTTGGCGCGGCGAATGGCAAAACTGACTAATGATGCCGACTATGATGCCGGCGAAACGTTTGAGAATGTACCAAGTCCAACTACTATTGCAGACGACTTCGGAGTAGGTGCATTCTACTAAGTCGCCCTGACAACAGGACCAAGTTGCGAGAACGAGGTCAAATCAATTCTATAAATCTAAGGGAGACTGCGACCATACCAGAGGCCACAACATCTTAGCCTTCATATCTTTGAGATTGTTCGTTTATAAATAGAAACCCAAACTACCAGTAAATCGGTTATATAACTAAAGTATATTGTAGTAAGAACTGTTTCACATGATAGTC